TGTAAGTACCCAAAAAAAAATGAAAAAGAGAAATAAGAAGGAAAAAATTGGAAGTAGAAAAAGGTTTTGAAATAAAAATGGAGAAGAGAAAGAAGAAATTGAATATGGAGATTGAGTTGAAAAGAGAACTGAAACAACAAAAAAAATAAGAAAAAAAAATCGAGAAATAATAATAAGAAGAAGAATGGAAGAGGGACCAAAATAAATGACATAGGCGGGCCCATAGGAGCTTTTGGCCCACCACTTAGAGCCCAATGCACAATTTAAACACTAAAGCCTAACGTTGCTGAAGCCCAACGTTGCATCAAGGACCAACAACACCTAAACACGTGTCAGGAGAAAAACCATCCACATCAGCAGGCAAAGATCCTGCAGAGTTATTGCACCACACAACAGCCATTAATGAGTCCTGCAACATTTATTACGATAAGCCCTTCATGTCGGAACAGGACAGCCACACCACGAACAACGCAAGCTAGAACATAAACTTTCAACCAAAATGACAGCTTGGAGTGGATAAGGAAATGATGAACAAAGGATATAAGCAAGCTTCGACGACAAGGAGAAGGTTAATTTCTCAATCACCATTCTATCTCTACATTTCATCATCCTCTCCCTTCTCTAACTTGATCATGGGAGGGTTCGCTAGGGGACTCCACATTCCCCGTTGAACTCTTGTGCAGGTCTCTCTGCGAGCTTGACGCTCAGGTAACGGTTTGAGAAGCGTGGATCAATCCGACTCGTTCCATCTGGAGCACAGAGTATCATCAGTTAGCGCTGTCTGTGGGAACCTTTTTGCTCCGTGTGGCAACTGTGCTTATTGTCGCCGGAGATCCATTCTAGATAATCCCTACCTACCACCCACCCGGGTGGATGGTCACAACTAGATCCACGGCTTCTCAACACAACGTTGCCGACCCCTAAGCCGACCCTCATAACCCAAACAACCCACCGTCGTATTTCATAGAACTCACCAACAGCATTAACCGCTTAGTTGAGCAAAACCAAGCCCTGATCAATGTTTTGCTTCAAAGAGACCTCCCCATACCTCCACCACCATCTCAAGATATACCACCCAACCGAGAACGAGCCCCGAGCCATCCCATCCAACAATCTCAACCATCCAACTTGGAGGGCTTGTGTGACAACCCTCACTACTGTTTACTGATAACACCACTGATTACTGCTAAACTGAGACTGATCATGATAAGTAATTGAATCGATTGAAATTCTGAGTTAATTGATTGAGTGTGATAGTTTAAGTGCATATCTATCTGTTTAATTGTTAAATTATCTGTTCAAATTGCAAATTGAAGGCCTTATCGGCAGCCGAATCTGAAATTGATTAATGTTTTATGCTAATTGGAATTTATGTGATTTTATGGTGTATTTAATTGAAAATTGATTTGGTATGATTAATTTCGATTAAATAAACTAATTATCAAAGTTGGACTTATTTACAAGAATGCCACTTAGTGGACTATTCCATGAGCCATTTGTTTGATTTCCTTATGTTAGCTTTATCACATTTCCTTAGCCATTTCCTTATACACAACTGACTAGAGAGAGAGGGACTTCAGAGAGAATTGTTTTCATCTTGTTTTTGCTTGGAGTCTTGAAGAATTGAAGAGAGAATTGGCAAATTGAACTTCTAGACTTGGAATTGGAGACCTAAGGTAGGACATTTACCTTCTTGTTTGTGAATTCAAGTTAGTTCTTACATGATTCATGGTAGATAGGAGCCTAAGGTCATAAATTGGTTGAAGATTGTTGAATTGAAGCTTATATCATGCATGCATGTGCATATCTTGAAGTTTAGAGTTGTTTTCATGGAAATTATTGCATGCATGTCCATATTTAGGTTATAGTCCATGAATTCATCATGTTTGGGAGTGAATTAACTCATTTGATCATGCATTGGGAGCTTTGAAGTTGATTAAATTCATGCATATTGCATGTTTATCATGTTCTTGAAGTTTTGATGAAATTGTGTTTTAATTGACTCACCCTTGGGCTTTGATTTTACAAATTGATCTTCAAAACATGTTATATTATGGGTTTAAAGTGTTTTTCCAGAAAATGGGCCCAAGAGGTTGAGTTTTGATGCGTTAAAGTTGAGTTTTGAGCTTGAGGTTCGAATCTGGAAATACCAGATTTTGGACTCACGCTCGAGCGAGCGCTCGAGCGTACGCCTTGTGTTCATGCAGTCCACTCGAGCGAAGAAAGTGGTGTTCGAGCGTGAAATGCGTGTGCCCAATACTTTGCATGTGTTTACAGTCTGCTCGAGCGAGAGAGTTCACGCTTGAGCGTGGATCGAGTGCCTGTTGAGCGTGATTTTTGTGCATCCAGTACTTTTATTGTAGCTTACAGTCCGCTCGAGTGACGGAAGTCACGCTCGAGCGGAGATCCTTTGTCTGCATGTCCGTTCGAGCGTAGAAAGCCACGTTCGAGCGAGACCCCTGTTTTCTAAAAAATTCTAAAAAGTGTTTTAAAGTGCATCTTTGCATCCTCATTTCATCCTAGGCACTCCTAGGCCTAGTTTAAGGCATCTTAATGAGGATATTGATGTAGAAACACACCAAGGCAATTTAAGGATTAAGTTATTATTTTTCAATTGTGTAGCTTAGTGTGTGTTCATTCTGTAACTATGTAGGGTTGGCATCCGAGGATGCTCTAGCTGCTTATAGCCCAGTGCTCTGTGAGTAACAATGTTGTAATGATATGTTCAATTGAGATTATTTTCTGAACAAATGACTGTACTGCTTTATGAAATGACACTGTTTACTGAATGAATATTTGTTCTATTTGTGAACTATATTCGTGGCATCCATAACAATTTACTGTTACTGAACTGTTACTGCTACTGTTACAGAGATCTCTGTCGGTTTCCATGTTTAGAACCACTACTGTTTACTGATATGATGGCCATCATTGACTGCTCAGTCTGTTAAGACCTACTGTACTATTTTGCTATTGGATGTACCACATATGACTATTATAGTTTCTGAATGACTGTTATGGCATGAATTATGAGCCACAAACTGAATGACTGATATACTAATAAATGACTGTTTTCAATACTAAAAGGACATTCATTCTTAACCTCTTTACACATATGTTATTCACTGGGCTTTAGCTTACTGTTTATATATATATATATATATATATGTAGGTGTTCAGGCACCGGACCGGAGTTAGGAGCGTCGGATTAGCTCTTGTTTTGTCAAGCCAACCATCGTGCCTCACCTTGAGGTTCCAAGTGCTGCCAAGCTAAGGCGGCTTCGGTGTGTTTTAGATTCCCCATTTTCTGTCTCTGTTTTGTATCGACTGTATAGACTGAATGATATTCATACTATACTGTTATGGTAGGGACTTGGTCCCTAACCCGAATGCTTGTATATGTATGTATAGTACTGTTTTGTTCCGAATGTGAATATGTTTAAAAAAAAAAGTCTTTTTGCATATAGACTGTCACAGCTCATTGGACATCTTTTAATTACTGTTCTGGCTTCCGCCAGCTCCTGTACTCTGTATTACTATTTTACTGTTAAGCAGGCCTTCGGTAATCTCGGATTACTGGCCGGTTACGGTGCTAAACTCATAGGGGTGGGTTTGGGTCGTGACAGCTTGCGACCCCCTCCTCTAGAAATGAACTCGCCACCTCGGGCCCCATACCCATCGTTCCAAGTACCTGCCCCCGAGGGAGAGGCCAGTAGTGTCCAGCCTCCATTGCATTCCGGCGGTGACAACGTTCCCCTTTGGGATGTCAAACTTTGAGCCATGAAACTCCAGCTTCAAGGAGTCATGCAGAACATACAGAATAAACCTTCCGCCACAGCCAACTCACCATTTGTTGCCTCCATTAGGGACAAACCCTTACCTTCTAAGTTCAAAATGCCCTCGATCGACTCTTTCAACGGTACAATGGACCCAGTCGATCACTTGGAGACTTACAGGACCCTCATGGTCCTCCATGCATTCCCTGATGAGATCATGTGTCGGGCTTTCCCTGTAACACTTAAGGGGTCGGCTCGACTCTGGTTTAGTCAACTGCCGACAGACTCTGTCTCTATTTTTCAGCACCTAAGTGACTCCTTTCTCAGCCACTTCATTGGTGCCCAACGCCAGCGGTGTCCGTCAACCCAACTCCTCAACATCCGTGAGACAGAGGGGGAGTCCCTGCGCAGCTTTGTTACCCGCTTCAACACCGAAGCCTTGCAGGTGGCGGAAAACAATGATAAGGTCATTCTTACGGCTTTCATGGCCGGTCTACGATCATCCGATTTCTTTTTCTCCCTCTCCAAAAACCCTCAAACCTCCATGGCAACTCTTATCTCCAAAGCTCAAAAATACATGAACGCCGAAGATTCCCTAGCCGCTCGGCAAGACTCCACGACCAAAAACCCTTCCCCTAGAGAGAAGAGAAAGGACCCTGAAACCAGAAGCACCTAGTACACACAACAAACACCTCAGTATACCAACCGACCTGCTCGAGCCGATCGGTCGGCCCCTATCCGACCGCCCGGCCGGTTCGAGCGGTACACACCCCTTAATTCCCCCATGGAACAAGTCTTGAACCAGATCCAATGAGATTATCCCTTAAAATGGCCCCAACTGTCGCGGTCTCTTTCCAACCGTCGAGACCAGTCCAAATACTGCCATTTCCATCAGGACTACAATTACAATACCGAGGAGTGTGTTAACCTTAAAGACCAGGTTAAGGACTTGATATGCCAGGGGCGTCTCAGTTGGTTCACGGCAATCCGCCTTCAGCAACGGCCAAGGACCGAACCTACCAGAAATAATCACCGGCGCACCCCTCCTCGATAACCCGCACAACCTCACCAAGGCCATGATCGGCCCCCACAGCAACCTCGGGTGCAAGGCAACCCTGCCCTCCCGGTTAGAGAGATCAGAGTTATTACTGGCATAATGACTTGTTAACCATCTCAAAAGATAAAAAGACAGGAGAATTGTTAGACTGGAATGACATGTCGAAAATGAAGTACTCATGGAATGTAATGTGTGAAGTGATGAGACTTGTTCCTTCTCAACAAGGAACCTTCAGAGAAGTCTTAACTGACTTCACATATGCTAGTTACACAATTCCAAAGGGCTGGAAGGTGTGTAAACATCTATCAAATGAATCTTGTGTATTTCTTTTCAGACTAGCTCATTATTCAATGATTTGGAACTGTCACAACATCTTTTGCTCTAACTACTTATAAAAATAAAATGACATTTGAAATCCTATCTTTCAATCTTGTTGAGAAGATAGGTTTCGAATGAGTGGAATCTTAGGTCTCATTTTTTTCTTGTTGGTTGTTGGGCAGGTGTATTGGCTTAGGATGGCCAAGTGTCCCCAACTTTTCAACCGTTACTCTTTAGCCTATGGTTTTTAATTAACTTTCTCTAAAATTATATATTTATATATATGCGAAGGATAACTATTTTTGTAGTCTGTCTTTTTGTTTTTTTTTTTCATTTGCCTTTTCCATTTTAAGAAAACTCCTAACAACTTTGTTACCATGATCGATTGATCATAAGTGGTTAGAACAAAAGATAATATATAATTTTGAACTGGTAAATAATTTTCCTTTAGTTATCACAACTAATTTGCGAGTGTTGTTTGTAGGTATATTGGACAGTTAACACAACAAACAAGAACTCTAAGTACTTTCGAGATCCAAAAAAATTTGATCCGTCAAGGTACGAAGGCGGAGAAGCACCGGCTCCATACACGTACGTGCCGTTTGGAGGTGGGCCTAGACTTTGCCCCGGAAAAGAGTATGCTCGTTTAGTAATGCTAACTTTCATCCACAATGTGGTGAAGAAGTATAAATGGAAGGTACTTTTTCCAAAGGAGAAGGTTTTAGGTGATATGGTGCCAATGCCAGAAAAAGGAGTTCCAATTCGCCTCCACCCCCATTAGTTGTTTTGAATAATGCTTAACAAATAAAATTTTCACAAAAAATAATTGTGATCTTTTGTAATTTTTTTGTTTGGAGTCCAAACATACATTATTGTGACTCAAAATTTCAAAAATGTTCCTATTATTTCATTTTGTATAAATTTTACGCATAGACTATGTGTAAAAACCTTTTCTAGTATTTATTCATGTATGTCATAAACTTTCTATGCCATTCAATTTGGACTTCATTGATCCACCTGATACTATAGGATTTAATTTCCTTTAAATTTTTAAAAGTGAAAATTTTATTATAAAAGTTTTGTTGTGATAATTCAAAAAGCACCTCTATTAGTCGTTTTGCGTCAACAATACTTTCCACAAGAAGCCAAATGTGTGAGTTTGAGACAAAGCTCACAAATAACATTTTCCTTTAAATTTGTTAGAATTTTAAATTAAATCACAAACTTTTTTGCTAAAGCCTTTAAATACATTAATTATTATTTTTTCTTTACACCCACTATATACATATTGGATGTTGAACCTTATGAAGGAACACACTTGTATATTATAGAAGGTGAGTGTGAAGAAATTAGAGGTGTATTTAAAAGTAACCCCTGTTTTACTTCTATTTGTGATGGGTTAAAATGAACAAGTTAAAATATACAAAGGAAAATTTAAAGTATACAAAAGAAGAAAAAATAAAATATAGTAGTGTTTTTGTATATTTTTAAAAATTATTATACCAGACATATGTATGTAATTGTGTTAATAAATGTCGTCCTATATATGTGACGTTTTGCAAACGTCTGCAAACACTTATACTAGGCTTTTTTATAAATATTTTTAAATTGAAACAGTTAACTTCACTCCATTATTATTATCAACATAAAAAATGTAAAGCAAACAAAGAAATAATCTAAGCTAAATTTAAGAAAAAAATCACATTTTTTGCCAAGTGACCAAATCTCATCATCCAAAACATCATACATATTGAGGTTGCCTATTCCGTCCTTGCCTCAACTTGGCTTCAGACATACTAGCTCTACACTAATTAGATAATAGAAATCCACTTTGTAAATTTAAAACCATTTTTTAAATGAGTTAGACTTCTCTCTGGCTTAAATATAAACTTGAGTATTATATTTGGCCTCATAGGACCCACCACATATTCTTTTTGATAATCTGAACTATTCATTTTATAGGGTCCTCTTTGTATATTATTCATAAAAAAATTAAATAAATTCAATAATCTTAATATTTTTATTTAATTGGATTTGTCTTAAAAAAAAAAAAAATGGACGATAGTAATATTTTAAAAAATAGCTCATCTATTTTTTTTTTTTTTAGAGAAAAACACTATAAAATAAAAATATTATGAACATAAATGTCAAATTTAGATTTCAACTTGAAAAAAATGTAAGCATTTAAAAAAAAATTATTATCACTATCTTAATATTTATGAGTCTGTATGACTAGTTGCCAAAAACTTAAATTGGCTGGGTGAACGTGACGTGTTTATACAAATGTATAGTTGTGATTTTGTACCTCAAAATTTAAAAATCATTATATTGAACACCTATATATGTTTCCATGTTAATAAATGTCATATTATTTTTATAACGTTTAACAAACAACTGTTGTCACTTATAATTGATATTTTTATAAATGTTGTTAAATTGTACAGCTAACTTCGATCCATTATCATTACCGGCATAAAAAATGTAAAAGTAAATAATTTAAATTGAATTTTTTTAAAAATCATTATTGTTTGCTCGATGACCAAATCTCACTACAACAAATAAGAGTTTTAGAGACAAAATATTTTGATCTGTAAAAGTGAAAATTTTGTTATAAAAGACATTAGGGATCAATTTCTATCATTATGAGGATAATCGCTAAAAGGTCGTCTTGAAAAATCGAAAACAAGGCTTTTAGAGACAAAATTTTGAAAATGTCACTAATAAATATATTTTTAGGGACAAAATAATTTGGTCTCAAAATAGTTTATTTTTTGAGACAAAAAATTTAGTCCCAAAAGGATAATAATTCATTACCAATGTCTAATTTTTGTTGCTAAAAATATAATAACAGCACTTTTCCCAACAAAAATATTTGGTCCCTAAAAAATAATTTTGTTCCTAAATTTTAGTCTCTAAAACCTTAATTTTTTGTAGTGTCTTGTCGTCATCACAAACTTGATGCATGTTAAGCATGCATATTACGTCCTCGTTCTAACATGATTTAAAACATACTATCTCTATCCCAATTAGACAATAAAAACTGATTTCGTAAATAACTTAACAAAAAAGAAAAATCCATGAGGCACTTTTCAAAACATTTTTCCAAGGAATTTTACTAAGTTTCAGATCATTTTATTTAAATATATATATTTTTATTATGATAATCTCATAATATTAATGAGTCTTTACTGACATTTATGAGTATTTATCAAATCTTAAATGGGATACCTTTTCTGTGAAAAAAGCAAGGCAGAGAAACACCGACGAATGTGTATATATATATACAATGCAAGAATACCCAACCCAACCCAACCCAACCCAACGCAACCGAGGGTGCTAAGAAGATGAGCAACAGCATCAACAGAGGAGAATATGAAGATGAAGATGAAGATGAAGATAGAGTCTCGAAAATTCCATTGATGAAATCAATGAATAAGCGATTTTACCATAATATTGGTATGGATCTCTACATATATGTACTTGATTTCTTTGATTGTGATTGATTTTTGATACTTTATTTTTGTTGCTGAAATTGAACTAGATCATTCCAAGGGTCGATCACTTAAAGATGATCGAGATCGATGGTCTTGCTTGTGATTTGTTTCATAAGCCCATCGATGGAGCTGCACATCCAATTGTTCTACTAGGCTGGTAATTCCATCTGCCTCTCCATTTTGATTTAACAGTGTTTTTTCTCAAATATTTTCTTTTTCATTTTTATGTAACATAACAATTTCGGGTTGACTAGCAGGACTCCAATTTGAAAAGAGGCAAATGGAAGAAGAATTTGGATGGCTATGAATTCAAGCTAAGCATCCAAGTAAAAGCAACAAAGCAAACCACTCTTTTGGACTTGAAGCATATTGGATGTGTTAAAAATATTTGTTAAAGTGTTATATGACAAAAAGTCATAAAATTCAGAATTTCTCTTAGACCGTTCACATTGTATGTGTTAAAAAATTACTTGTTGAAGTATATTATATGACAAAAAGCTATAAAAGTGAGATATGAATTAAAATTTTTAGTATATGAGTGCTCCAATAGAGTCGTATTCTCTGATTTATATATTCAAAGTTTGTGTTCTCTTGTAATCTAAGCCACTATCTTGAGCATCACAATACTTGATGTGTTACAAGTGTCTGTTACCCAAAAAAAAAAAAAAAAAAAAAAAAAAAAAAAAGAGATAAAAGTTAGATTCAATTTGGGAGTTAAGTGTTTGTTAAATTATTGGCTGTATGGGTGTTCCAATGTTGATGTTAAACTGTGATTAATTAGTGGGTGTACGTAATTGTGCTGATGCTTGGCAATCATAATTTGGTTGTTATGGTTGGTTTATTTATTTATTTATTTATTGCTTTTGTTGGTTTCTCGTTAATGGTTGGGTGTTTTCCTAGGTGTTTGCATGTGATTTTGCTTTGAGTTAATGCAACAATTTAGTCGAGATATGTTCCTTAAGTTTTTTTTTTTTTTGGGGGGGGGGATGGACCGGGCTTGAGCAAAAGAATTTACTGATGAAAATTTAATATACATAGAAAAACTCTGAAAACCAACATCAATCAAAACAGAGATAAGTGCATCCAGTATCAAAGCCAAATTTTACAAGACAAACAAAACCAAAGAGAAAATCATAGAACAACACAAAAAGGGGCCACCACCTCTGTTATGAACCATGAAGACCATTTAAGAAAACTCCAACAGCATCCACATCTTGAAACAAACATTGGTGGATGCAAAGCTATCCCAGCAACAGCAACAAAAAATCCCAAGATCTAGTCCAGGACACAAACTTACCTAAACCATTTGAACACACCGATGAAGTTGTAGAAATCAAATCCCCCACCAAAAGCCCCTGTTAAGCACAAGCTGCAAGCGAAAAAAAGAAGTCATTGATGCCGAATTCTTAGAAATTATTCTTGAACTTGACCCACAAAGCGACTCGAACCTTGATTAAATCCAATGTAGCTTCCCAATCATGTTGTGCACCATTGAATAGGCATTCATTTCTCGGATTCCATACAGTCTACATTATCGCAAAAGGAATAACCTCCCCAATCACCATTTCTTTCTTGAGCAACCTTGACCCTTGCCACCAACCTAAAAGCACTCGTATCGACCCTTTCTTAAGCTATGATGCAGCTTTAACACCTTGGCTTTGTCTGTTGATGTAATTCTCTTTGTACATTTTCGCTTTCATTAATATACTCCATTTTTTTTACTGATAAAAAAAATAAAATACTCCGGCATTTATGTTGGTATCCGCCAATCATAACAAAATAATCTACCTTTAACATTAAGATAGACTTCAAACTGGCCGTTGTAATTTAATGTCTTTAGCAATAAAGTTATTGTAAATCTTAATTTGTTCAATATTTCTTGGGGCCATATGAAATCTTATTTTTCTCATATTTTGACACTTTGCATTTAGAAAATGACGCTATAAGCTTTAGAAATGCCACAATTAGATTAGACAACGTTTATTGATAAAATGTCCACTGTCTTACCTTTCCAGCCATTTATAATTGACATTTTCATAAATGTTGTCGAATATTTGTCAGCAGGAGGATTTAGTAAACTTCAATTTGTCAGCGTTAACGGTGACATGATGTCACATGCCATTTATTTGTACACTATCAAAGTTTACTTGTAGTTGTGTTTCTAGGAACGCCATCTTTTCTTCTCTTTTCTTTTTAATTTTTAATTGAATGGCATTATAAAAAAATAAAAATAAATAAAAAAACTCATACTGGCATTTCTGTATTTGAGTTATTCAATTTGAAACTGAAATCAAAATTTGACACATTATTTTGTATTATTATTATTATTTTTTTACTTTTTATGTTTCTATTATACTACTCTTTATATCATATAAATATTGTTCCTCTATTTTAAAATAATTGTTTCATTTCTTCTTTCTTTTAATTTAATTATTGAGATAATAAACCAATATAATGAGTTAGTGGGCCGTTCGAAAATCATGTTTAGTTGGAAAAAAATAGGTGAGTCTAGCATTTTTTATGACGATTTAGGCCTTGTTTGGAAACAGGCTGTTTTAATAATTTTTTCACTTTTTGGCTAAAATATGAGATAAAAAAATTAGTATATTTGGAATGACTTTTTGATTTTTTTATGAAAAGATGTGCAAAAAATGAAGAAAAAATGGAATCTTTGAATTTTTGGTATAAGTTATAGGCTTTTTGATTTTTTTTAATAACTTTTTAAATTTTAGGCTCAAACACTCACATGCCAAACGAGACCTTAGATCACTAGTCCTATCCTGTGAGAGTTTGCTTCCTACTAAACAAAAATAAAAAAGTTACTTGTGTCTTACATCTTGAGTCTAATACCTCTACATTGGTAATTTCATCACTCACAATATTACTATAATCTTAATCCCAATTTGCATAATCCAGCAATAAGCATGGCTTCCTATCCTTTTGTTGTATCTGTACAATACCAAAAAAGACTTGGAGTAAATATTTACAAAAAAAGTGGGAATGTTTTTGTTACTTACACTAAGCGTGAGACTTGATAAACAAAACTACAAAATAATGAAATTTTACATTTCATTTGCTTTTGTCTTCTCTTCTTCCTCCTTTTTCTTCTACATCCTCTCCCTTCCCTCCATTTGCAACTTGTCAACTATCATCACCACCACCCCTCCGCAATCACACCATACCTTTCTCACTTGCCTCCATCCACAACCACCAAATTATGATTCTCAAGTATGAACACAACCACCATGTATTAATTGTTCATCATACAGTTGGTGGCTTAAAAGAGTTTTTAATAGATGTGAGACAATTGTGGATGCTTTTATTCCTTTCATGAGACGCAGATTTAGTAATAGTAAGTTTGGGTTTGTAAGATACCTTAAGGAAAAGGAGGCCGACAAAGCCGTTCGTTCATTCAACGGGGTTTGGTAGCGGGTTCATATACTAGTGGCGAAAATAGCAACCATTCTCTTTGAGAAAAGAATGATTTGGAGAAAGAAGAAGACTTTTTTGCCTGATTCTCTCTCCCCAAAAGGCGACCAGATTTGGAGGCATAAACAAGACCCTGAAGACCAGTCACTATGTTCTGTGGAAGGAGTCGAAGTTAACCCAGATGGTTCTTCTTTCACTGTTGAAGCGGAAGAGATTGATGACTCTTGGGTAAAGACGTGTGCGATTGGTATATCGAGGAGGCAATGAGAACTGAAGGGGTCAATTACATAATAATCAAAGCACTAGGTGGTGTTAAGGTTCTGTTGCAATTTAATAATGTGGAAGATATGAAAGAGATGCTTCAAAGGAGTAGATGGTGGCTAGAAACTTGGTTTGATGAAGTGTATGAGTGGCATTGTAGAGAGTTTATGTTGTCAAGGAGAGTTTGGCTGGCCATTGAAGGGGTTTCTCGGAATGCTTGGAATTCCACAACTTTCACCAAAATTGCCAGCAATTGGGGCCGAGTTTTTTTTGTTTTCTGTTGATGGAAAACTACTTCACGCATGGAACTGGAAAGAGGGAAAGCTCTCATGGAAACAAATTTTAAAAATTCAATAAATGGATTTTGCAAATTGAAAGTCGGTTAATTTATTTTCGACATTCACTGCTGGAAATCGCACTTTTAGCGGCGTTTAAAAACGCCGCCATATGTATCAAAAACGCCCCTAATTCTTTTTGTGGCGTTTAGTACCAAACGTCGAAGCTGCGGCCGTCGCTGTAGCTTTGCGACGTTTTAAAAACGTCGTGATATTAGTACAGGCGATATGTGACGTTTTGCAAACGTCTGCAAACACTTATACTAGGCTTTTTTATAAATATTTTTAAATTGAAACAGTTAACTTCACTCCATTATTATTATCAACATAAAAAATGTAAAGCAAACAAAGAAATAATCTAAGCTGAATTTAAAAAAAAAAAAAAACATTTTTTGCCAAGTGACCAAATCTCATCATCCAAAACATCATACATATTGAGGTTGCCTATTCCGTTCTTGCCTCAACTTGTTTTCAGACATACTAGCTCTACACTAATTAGACAATAGAAATCCACTTTGTAAATTTAAAACCATTTTTTGAATGAGTTGGACTTCTCTCAGGCTTAAATATAAACTTGAGTATTATATTTGGCCTCATGGGACCCACCACATATTCTTTTTGATAATCTGAACCATTCATTTTGTAGGGTCCTCTTTGTTTATTATTCATAAAAAAATTAAATTAATTCAATAATCTTAATATTTTTATTTAATTGGATTTGTCTTTAAAAAAAAAATGGACGATAGTAATATTTTAAAAAATAGCTCATCTATTTTTTTTTTTAGAGAGAAACACAATAAAATAAAAATATTATGAACATAAATGTCAAGTTTAAATTTCAACTTGAAAAAAATGTAAGCATTTAAAAAAAAATTATTATCACTCTCTTAATATTTCCGTATGACTAGTTGCCAAAAACTTAAATTGGCTGGGTGAACGTGACGTGTCTGTACAAATGTATAGTTGTGATTTTGTACCTCAAAATTTAAAAATCATTATATTAAACACCTATATATGTTTCCATGTTAATAAATGTCATATTATTTTTATAACGTTTAACAAACAACTATTGTCACTTATAATCGATGTTTTTATAAATGTTGTCAAATTGTACAGCTAACTTCGATCCATTATCATTATTGGCATAAAAAATGTAAAAGTAAATAATTTAAATTGAATTTTTTTAAAAAATCATTATTGTTTGCTCGATGACCAAATCTCACTACAACAAATAAGAGTTTTAGAGACCAAATGTTTTGATTTGTAAAAATGAAAATTTTGTTACAAAAAATATTTAAGGATCAATTTCTATCGTCATGAGCATAATCGCTAAAAAGTCGTCCCGAAAAATCTAAAACAAGGCTTTTAGAGACAAAATTTTGAAAATGTCACTAATAAATAGATTTTTAGGGACAAAATAATTTGGTCTCAAAATAGTTTATTTTTTGAGACAAAAAATTTGGTCCCAAAAGGATAATAATTCATCATTAATGTCTAATTTTTGTTGCTAAAAATATAAGCACTTTTTTCAACAAAAATATTTGGTCCATAAAAAATAATTTTGTCCCTATATTTTGGTCTCTAAAACCTTAATTTTTTGTAGTGTCTTGT